CCATCACTACAATTTCTTTACCATCAGAGAAAGGACAACCTGATGAACATGTGGTGTTAAATTTGAGTGTGTAGTGTAAAAAAGCATGGGCACAGGTGAGGTTAGAAAACTGGCACAATCTACTGTCTTCCAGAGATTTCTAGCCTCAGTTAACGTTGAGTTCAAGGTGCCCAATAGCTCAGGGGTACCCATGCCCTCAGTGAGTACAGCAGACATTTCATGTACGTCAGCAGGTTCAACTCCAGCCCATTGCCCTTTGCTGCATGTCATCCCCTCTGTCTCTCCCCCTTTCAAGCTTGAACTATCATATCAAGGAAGTGCAAAAGCCAAAAAAATAAAGAAAGAAAAACCACTGAGTTCAATTCGACAGTATGTGGAGTTTCTTTCACTTTCAGGCTCACTGTGCCAAGTACTTAAGTCTGTTTGCTTCCACAGCCAGTGGCGCCGTACAGGGGAGAAAAGTTAGGACAATTCCAAGAATAGGTAAAAATTAATATAAAAATTCTTAAACCATCATCATTAAGAATTTTTTTTTCAAATATAGAAATAAAATTAATGATCTCTTTGTTTTTACTTGTTTTTGGCAGTAAAAATTAAATATTCCCATTGACCAAAAAGTAAACATCCATATTGACTGACCACCCCCCTGTATCTGCATGAAATGGTTTGGTCCTGCCTTACCGCACTGACTGTGATGGTGCTTAGTAGCAGTCAGCAGATGCGCTAGAACGCTACAGTCATCACAATGCTACCTGGTACTAAAAGAAAATCCGGTTTTCACAAAAGGAAAGAGAGAAAGAAGAGAGAGGAGAGGCAAAAGAAAGGGTGTCAATATGTGAGCCAGTTTTTCTCCAAGAAAGGTGGGTAGCCTATAGCAGGGGCGCCGCCAGGAAATTTGGGCCCCATGAAAAAAATCACATTGGGCCCCCTCCTCCGCGCAGCTGTTGTCACCACATCTCTAGGACCTAACTGACCCATTAAAAGCTTTACATAACTCTAACTTTGAAGGCTTGCAACTGTCTTGCTTCTTGTTGCTCAATACTAACAGTACAGTATTTACTGCTAGTGAGTTGTACATGCAACAGTCTGCATCCAGTATGCAATTCACTATTTGATGCAAGATTAAAAGCTGCCATAAAAAATGTGCTAAAGGCCATCTTTTACAGTCTTAATGTAATTTTTACTGTAAAATCCCAAAATGGAAAATTCTCTTAACATTAATTAAAGACTTAAAAAATAACTTAAATATACATTAACTTTTCAATCAAAATAAATTAAGATCATCATCTCAAAATGATAAAAACAGCTGATTTTTGATACCAATAAATGAATGACACTAAGGGCTGGATCTACTAAAGGTTTGCTTGTATTAAAATGTGTGCAAACTCATTGCACGTGCAAAAAAATGTATAAACTTATTTACTAACAGTGCGCACTAAGGGTTGCGTCTTTCAAAGGTGCAAAATAGCGTGTCTGCATCCAGTTAGTATGTTTGCTGCAATGAATATGCAATATGGGGCGTTTACACAGAATTGTGCGTGTGCTGGGAGGAGAAAATGTAAATATATTAATTTAGCACATGCAAAGTGATTTATCAAACCTGAGAGCAATTTTGCAAATAGAAACTGTGTCTATATTTAACGTGTCAAAGGGAGGTGCAAACGGTTTGTATGCGTAATTGCGCACACATGGCTGCGGTTATTGTTGCAAGAAGGAGACATCGAAACGATGAAAGAAGACGCAGAGAACACATTTCTTTACCCTCGTGTGTGAAGCAAGCAACACGGCTGGAGCAGAATGCCATGCCATTTTTTTTATTGATACTCCTCCTCTCTGACATACTAACACACACACACACACACACATTGAACATGCGATTGAATGAATGAATGAACATTGGAAGCAGTTCAGCCGCAGGTCACTGTTGAGATTACATTCGTTTTTTATTATTAACAAAAATTTTTTTTGTTATTGACCGTATGAATGGTTTTGTTTTCAAATAAATATTTGGAAATGAAAATGTATGCTTTGGTGTACTTTTACATAGTTTTGCAATATGTATAGCCTACCTGTATGTTTCAAAATGTATAATTTTCAGCAGCGGTCACTGCCACGGTCGGACGTATAAATGCTCAGAAGTCTAGTGTGTTTCATTTTTGTAACTTAAAGGCTTCAGAAAACATACAAGACACATTTTTAGGAAAAGTCATAGGAAGAGAAGCTTATAGGTTTTATCTAAACAGAGTTATTTACATTATTAAAATCCAAACGGTCTGTCAGACCGTCGTGGCGGTTCTAGTGTTAAACATAATGCTGTAGATTAGAATACGAGTGCTAGTGTGACCCAATAAACTGCAGAGCATTGCAAAGTTAAGCGAATCAACATTTACTGAAAAAAAGATGATTGAAATCACTTTCTAGATTCCAAATATTATTATCAAACGAAATACACAATCTCATTAACATCTCATTATGTTAAGCCACGCAAAATCATATTAAAGACACATTGTTTCAGTCACAAAATATATAGGCTATAGCTCTAACATTTATTGTGGCAAAAAAAACAAAACTAAACAGTTCTTTATCGTATAGCCTATTTTACACAAAATGAATATTCATAGCCAATGTAAGAAAACTTAAACGTGACAGTTGAGTGTATTATTTGTTATTTCTTTTTACTCAGGTGGAACTTGCCCGCCGTGTGCTGTGTGTTTATTGGTCTCATCTACCAACGCCTCTAATTCCATAGGGTTGAATTTCACTTTGCGCTTTCTCTCCAAACTCGCCATGCTGCAAACCATTAAACACGCAAAACTCTCATTTAAATAGGGTGTCTCCAACATGTTTGCACCTCTTGTCATTTACGCAATCATTCTTAGTAAATCACCTGCAAACCGCGGTTCAGCCCCACACGTAAAACTGTAGATTGCGCAGGCAAATTAGTACACGCAAATTGGGATCTTAGTAGATCCGGCCCTAAATCCTAGAGATTTACACTGACCCAAATTACCTACAGTTCTGTATCACCACCACTAGGTTACATACATTAGATACATGTTTTTGTTTTTTGTTTTGTTTGTGTGTGTGCGTGTGTGTGTGTGTGTGGGTGCGCGTGCAAGCTGCTAAAATAAATTGCCCTTCATGGGAATAATAAAGTCTGTATCTATAGATGTCATTTAACGGCCATAACTGAATCTAAATGAAAGCATCTAACTGGATTATTTTAATATTGCCTGTAACTTTAATACAGGCTGAGTTAGGTTACTTAATGTTTCCAACTGTCCAGCATCCAGTACAGACAGTTGGAGGCTGTTTTTGTTTCATAATAATCATTATGTGGAAAAATAATTTGTTTGAATTTCTGTCATTAAAAAATATTTCATTTTCTTTTTTGTAATGGTAAAAAAGAGCAATAGAGAGACTCCCTGCAATGATGCTAACTGGCATGTCATTCAACACAGTGTTGCTCACCTTCTTCATTGGGACGGGGAGGGGTTAAGTTATGGGGAGACAGGGCTGCTGCTTCTGACTCATCTGTTGTTGAGTCTGGTAAAAGGGTCAGGGACAACTGATTTAATATGAATATCTTGCTAAACATTTACCTGCACTGATTAAATGTAGGTTAAAAAGGAGTAAATGTGGGCTAACGCTAGTCTGTAGCTAGCTTATTTCACTATGGACATTAAGCTAATAGGTTCATTTCTACCACTCACAGAGGCCAGTGGCGCTGTATAGGGGAGAAAAGTTAAGACAATTCCAAGGGCCCCTGACTGACAGGGGCCCCAAAAATAGGTAAAAATTAAAGAGAATAGAAATTACATTTATACTGTAAAAGATGGCCTTTAGCACATTTTTTATGGTGGCTTTTAATCTTGCATCAAATAGTGAATTGCATACTGGATGCAGACTGTTGCATGTACAACTCACCAGCAGTAAATATTGTACTAATAGTATTGAGCTATAAGAAGCAAGACAGTTGCAAGCCTTCAGAGTTAGAGTTATGTTAAGCTTTTAATGGGTCAGTTAGGTCCTAGAGATGTGGTGACAACAGCTGCGCGGGGGGGGGGCCCAATGTGATTTTTTTTCATGGGGCCCTAAATTCCTGGTGGTGCCCCTGTCCACAGCAACAGCTTTATAAGATGTAAGTTTTACTCCATTGAAATTGTGGGCATAATAGCAAGTTGAAAAGAAATGTTTAAGAAGCTCTCGATAGTGCAACAGTTTAGTCCCCCTATCCAGCTCTGTCCATTACACACTTATGTAAAAACCTAAAAAAGGGCATTTCACAAGTTGAATATTCAAAAGTTGAATACAAGCCAGCATGTATGAAAGATGTGGAACATTTGCAAGATTGAATGGAGTTTCTACGTGATTTTAAAATTAATGTTAAAGCATGAATTCTTTCAGATTTGAACTTTCCACCCATTCACTTAAATAGGAAAGAAATGGATATTTTGGAAAGAAATAAAAGATAAAAGCAATCATAATA